TTAAACTGCAAGCTCCTCCGGCAAGATCCTAAATGAAGTACGAATATCCCGAGTACCCCTTATCGAATAAGAATGCATGTTTCAATGCAAATATCAACGAAGCTACTGATACCACGACCCAAAGCCAGTCGGGCTTAATCGATTTCAATTCTATGAAATTCGACTTGTGTCCATATTGTTTATACATATAATAAATATAAATAAATACGCTCAGAATTCCACCGGGGGTTTATTGGTACTAAGACCAGTTATGTTTACTTAAAGCAAACACAACAATATTAGGGCCCTTATCAGGACCCACAGCTGTGTTTATATTATGAATATTCTCTCAATTTTAAAGCCTTGATGGGTTACGATATTAATAAATCTTAAAGCGAAGCATTTTTTGTGACCTTGCAGAGGTTATTGGGATGTCCAGAAAGAACACAAATCAGACACCATAGAGAATATTATGATATCTAATCCTACTCAACATCCGGGTAGCTGTCTTGTCAGGAGCTATCGCTCGAAGAATGTGATCTTTTTCGAAAAAACTTTGTTATCTAAAATATTCTATGTAAATAGGTAAAAAATAAAAATCTGCAGTATTTCAGTTTTGCAGCTTAAATTGTCGCGCTCTGTGGAAACAAGTCAAGGCTTTGAACTTTCGAATATTTTCCCCCTATATTCCACGCTTATGATTAAGTTCGATATACACATGTATGTACTTAAAGTTAATTGATGTACAAGCTATGTATGCTATAGATATGTACATATGCTAAAAAATTGCCATTACCCATTCCCGCAAGCAAACTATTGAAAAAGAGAGAAAAAAGAGAAAGAATATGGTGAGAAACGTAGCCAGCCAGCAAGTAAAGAAAATGCGTCGGCATGTGATATGCTCTATCAAAATCAAATTTAAGATAAATAAAAATGTGTATGCAATATGCAATCGTTCAGTTTTTTAGACAAATCGAGCAAATGCATTTAAAGTCAAACGGAGTTGAGTGCGCAACTAACAAGAGACAAATGAGATTGGGTGAGTTTTGTATGCGGTGTTGTCATGGAACGCTGGAAATGAAACATGATCGTAATGTTAAGCTCGTGCGACTGAATAGACAGATGTGTGAGAGAAATTGGCGATTGCAGCGTAACATAAGAGATAGAAGGACAGAGAGAGAGAGAGAGAGAGCTGTTTATAATAATTGGCATATTGAGACATTTGGCAATGCTTGAGCTAAATGCGACGTGCTTCTTGTATTTTTTTTTTGGTTGTTGTTTATTTTTTTTTGTTTTGTTGATCGTTGGTTGTTTACCCTCAATTTCCACTGGGAGTATGTAATTGGCAATTTCTTATCTTTATTAGAAACTGTGCTACTTTGTCTTAAAAGACGTCTAGAGACCTCATCATCGCCGCTGCCGCCGCCACCAGCACCAGATCGGCTATAACTATAGACACCGCCAGCGCCGCCTCCGCCGCCGCCAACGCCAATGCCGGTGGGCAGATGTGTGCGTCCATTTTGTAATGCTAGCACCTGAGCCGCAATGGCAGCATCCGCTTGATCACCACCACCGACACCATAACCGGCACCATTTAGATGCTCCAGCGCCGTTGACTGTCGATAGCCCGGCTGCCAGGGCAGCCTGTGCTCCGCGGCAGCGCTGCTGCTGCCGCCCAGTCGCAAACTGTTGCGCGTCTCATCTCCGGCCAGATCCACCGCCGAGTGGTAAATTGTGTTTCGTGACTGCGATAGCGACTTGCGATGCGCTGCCGCCGCTGCCGCCTCCGAATCGGCCAGCGAGATCGTATCAAAGTAGAGACTCTCACGCTCGTCCATTTCCGATTCGGGATAATCGTAGTCGTGGGTGCGCACTGCAAACAGTATTACAGATGATTAGTCGCCTGCTTATGCAAAATGCGTCAGTTGTACACATATGTATTTGTGTATGTATGTGTGTGTGTGTATGTATGTATTTATGTATGTTTACATATATGCACATAGATATACATATGTATGTGTTTGTATGTATCGTATGTAGAAATCACAGCAAAGCACGGTATGAGTTGGCATGGTATGTTATGCTATGAAGGTTGCAATATGCTGATAGTGCGCACATTCTGCATAAAAGCTTTGGGCTAATCGATCGAATGATAAAAATAAAATGCCGCGGCCACTAATCAATTAGAATTTGCACAGTGGGTCATACATACACAAAACAGATAATTCTTGCAACAAAAACACCACCTGCAAACTGCAAGCGGTTTAGCATAAATGCCGCAACATAAATATTAAAAAAAAAAATAAATAAAAAAATAAATCTGAAGAGCAAATATTTAAGATAAGCTGCATTGAAAATACTAGATTTTCTAATTTTGCATTTATTGCATTCGGAATTTATGTCTGTTAAAACGTGTTTGCAGTTCAATGACAATCGCCCCACTGTGCGCGAGCTAATTTGAAAGCGAAATGGAAGTTATCAGTAGGTGACGGCAGCCAATGCGGCTACTGATATTCGGTAAAATGGGGGTCATTGAAATGCGGCCAATTATGTAATTGCTTGATACGGGAGTATGAGAGCCACCAAATGGATGATCATCCATTTCCGGCTGAGAACAGTGCAAAGTGACCAATGTGCGGCTGTCATATTGCGATTTGACGATGACTTCATGCAGATGTGATGCTAAAGTGTATGATCATGTGTTTTTTGGGTGGGGGGTGCATCTATAAACAAATTACAGCTATTGAGCAGATGTAATGTAGATGTATACACGTGTGCAGACAGCACACACGCATGTAAACAAATGTACAAACAGAAATTATCTTGGATCTCAATAGTTAAGCAAATGTTAAACACTCGACACACAGATCCAAATACACACACACGCACACACTAAAAGAAAAAACGTCTAAAAATATAAAATCAAATTACGTTAATTTGCATATGAATGAATGTGAATGTGAATGCGAATTGGAACTGAACGAGAGCATATTGATAATGTTTGTTTTTGTTATTCATTAAAGGATGCATACGTATGGCATAGTATGTTTGTATGTATGCATGTGTGTATTGTCATTTATTTACCCGCTGAATACATTGTTGAGGCACAGTGAAAGACAGCAGTAAGAGAAGTAGAGAGAGAGAGGGAGAGAGAGAGAGAGCGACAAGAAAAGGAAGTTGAAGAGTAGAGCCAGCCAGGTGGCAGCTTAAAGTATCGAGTATTGTACTCGGTACTTGTTACTCGCTACACGTACTCGTTTCCAGTTCACGCTAAGCGCGCGATCGTTTGTGCAACAGCAGCTTTTGAGGACGTGCCAGGCATAACGGTAGACTAACTGACGGCAAAGAAAGGAAGAGAACAAAAGACGAGAACAGAAAAACCGTTTTTTATCAGCAGCTTTAATAAACAAATTTCACGCCCGCACACACACACACGCTTAGAGACTGACCAGCGGCCAAATGATGTCAGCTAATAAAAAGAAAAGAATAATAAAGGCAAAAACGAATCGAGCTAGAAAAATGCGTACGCGCGCGTTGTTTGCCGATTACTGACCAAACTCAGGCAATGCGCCGTACGCAGAGCAGCAGCCAGTACAACAACAACAACAACAATAATAATAACAATAATAACAACAACAAGAGTTGATTGCCAAAAAGGCAACGACAGCGTGCAACGAGCTGTAACCGAAGATACAGATATGGAATACACGCACACACGCATACCTGAATTAAATAGAATACATATGCACATGCCCATGTACATACATAAATATAGACGTGTTTACATAAATATTTGCTTGGCCCCAAAGGTCAAGTTGAAGTGTAAATGATTTGTAACCAAAATCAAAGTGCAAATTAGAAAGATGCCCAACCCGTTTTTTTTTTTTTTATCAAATACATATGTACTTATTTACTTGGCGTATGTAAATAAATGTTGGCCAGTCTATGCCGGCTGTTTGGACCGCCAATGAAAAGTGTCGGTCAAACTATGTCACAAATTAAATACATATATATATATACGTATATTTATTTACTTATATTTCGTTTGCCGAAAATTAAATACTCTTCTAAAAGCCATATTGGATATAGTTTTTCGATGTTGTTAGCAACAAATTAATTGCTAGCAAAAAGTTTCTCATATAAAAAACTCTATTTTTTAGACTAATTTCTAGAAAGGGGGACCTACAGCTATTTTGACTCTGTCGATATTCAGAAACCTTCCATTCATATTGTTGCACATTCTATGATAAAATGACAATACCCTCTGCTAGAGTATAAACACGCTGCGTGGGAGGGCAACGGTAATGCAACGGCCAACGGCTACCACAGATTTTAGTTATAAAAATTTTGATTTGATTCTTGAAAATGACTCTAAGGCCAAATGACGACGCTGTTAGTCAGTGATGGGCGCAGGCTGTAAACTTGGTTAGATACAGGCATTAGTAGTTAGTGCTAGAATTTGCAGTCCACTCGAACTCACCTCGGCGTCAGGTAGCAGCTGACCGTGGTTATAGCCTGTGTCAGCTCCACGATTGTATTGTTATAGCTTTCTTGTATGATGTATTGTTATTGTATATATATTGTGCGATCGTTGTGATAATCGTGCTGCAAAAGACGCTAGCGTAAGCGTCTTTGCTATGTTTTGTTATGGCTAAATTGAAACTTGTATTCCTTTGCACTTGACTAAAACTGGCAAGCTATCGAAATATCGATAGCTCAATAACAATATCGACTTATCGCATTAAGACAACATACAGTTGAGCGTCAGAGGTGTTCCCGTAACCTTCTAAGCAAATATTACCTAACCCTTAAGTGGAATGCAAACTATGTATGATAATAACATATTTGTTTTGCTTTAATTTATTGTCCTAAGAGTTACAAAATATTCGAACAAATAATTCAAATATTGTTTCCTGAAACGTTCCACACACACTCGGGGGAGTGCCGGTAATGTTGCTTTGATGAATATCGATATGTCATATATTGTGAATACGATGCTATCGTGACTGCATCACAATTTATAGACACGTCATGGTCAACAAAATTGTTAGTTGTATAAATAATAAATAAACTGCGAAACAAGACACTTTTGCATGTGTACACGATCGCAGCATGGTTTACATTGACCGCAGTGAGTATTCCCGAAACCAGACAGCTGCTTTGGAATACTATTGAAGCAATCGCTTGATTTTAGGTGGTCGCGTCTGGGAGAAGCGTCCTTGGGACTTCCAACGTGTTGTCGAGATATTTATAGGACTTTGGTATCTGATACTGCAATTGTAAGTATAATTGTTGATATTAGGAAACCTTTATATTAATATAGTTTTATTTTCTTGTAGCTTCCAGACCCTATTGGCACCTTTTAACGGTGGTAATGGAAATAACCGCAGCAACGAACGTCGTAGCACTGGTTGGGGTGGTGGCGGTGGAGGAGGAGGAGGAGGCGGTGGTGGTGGTGGTGGTGGCGGCTCCGGAGGAGGAGGTAACGGAGGTCTAAGGCCCAATCGACGCATTGGACGCATACAACCAACTATTAATTGTAGTTCATGCTCCATGGGCGGTGGATGAGGATAGCAGCGGCGTCCATGAGTCAAAAACGCTCGGTCGCCGCTGAACTACAGCGTAGTCGAAAAGCATTCATATATACTCCATATCGGTATTAGATCTCGCAAGATTTTTTGCGCATATGACGCAGCATTCATAAACTCAAAGCTGAGTGGAATGTGGCTGAATGGGTTTATGCTGATTTGGAGCTTGTTCTTTTGGCTACGTTTTAACAATAACTACACGAATACAAATTAGCTCGATTTTAGCTTTAAATATTTTTTTCGTACAAAACCGTTTTCTAAAACAAGGCGCAATATTAATTATTCTCGAATTTATTGGGCTACATAATACACTTTACAATAACACTAACTGAAATGTAATTAAAATTTAAATGTAGCGAAAAATAATACATTTAATACTTTTAATAAGGTGTTCGATAATAAATATTATTATTTAATCTTTCATTCTTTTAAGCAATCCGCAACAAGAATACAGATATTTGTGCAAAATAAATTACGTACTGTCCAATATAATACAGCAATAGTCAAACAGAATATTCATAAACGTAAATTATTTAAAACTTTCAAATAAATATACGATTTATGAACCAGAACTAGTTCTGCTAAGAAAAAAAAATCGAACTGCTTTCTAGTTCCAGCCAAAATATATCGAACATTTGACGTTTCGTTTTCATTTGTTTCGTTAGCTATCTGCTGCGGCGAGTCAATCGTATTGTACAACATACATACATACGAGTGCGCGTGTGTATGCTCGTAATTTTTTTGAGAATTTAAAAGCGTTCTTAGTAATATTTTTGGACCTCAGCATCTGCGTTAAACATTAACTAGCCAAATTGTTAAATATCACATGAGCCGAGCTTTTTAACTGCTCAAAATATGGATATGGAGGCTGAAAAAGGTATAACACAAAAACAGGGAAGAAAACCTTAGCGTTAGCGTGCTTATGCGCCCACATTTTGTTTTCTAGGCGAAGCGTTCAGCAAGGAACCAGATGGTGACGCGGTTCCGACATCGGATACAAACTCGAAAACTATTCAAGACAATGAAGTTGATTCAACGTGCATTGTGGAGGAATCGGCCATTATGCCACCTAGCGAGCCAGTAGAAGAAAAACCTAGATCTCCGCGCACAAGCAGTCGTTCACCTAGCGCAACACGAAAATCGCGTAGCCGTAGCGGCAGTGTAATTGACAGCTCGCGACGCTCTCGTAGTCGTTCTGAATCCAGACGGTCGCGTAGTGGATCTGGTCAACGTTCACGAAGTGGCTCCCGACGCTCCCGTAGTGGGTCTGGATCCAGGCGTTCGCGTAGTGGATCTGCACGTTCGCGAAGTGGCACACGCTCTCGTAGTGGATCTAGACGTTCACGCAGTGGATCAAAACGATCTCGCAGCGGATCAGGTGGACGCTCGCGCTCTCGCAGTGGATCCAGACGCTCACGCAGTGGCTCAAGACGTTCTCGTAGCGGATCCAAACGTTCTCGTAGCGGATCCAGACGCTCCCGTAGTGGATCTGGATCTAAGCGCTCACGAAGTGGATCTGTGCGCTCACGTAGTGGATCTAGGCGTTCACGTAGTGGATCGAGGCACTCACGTAGCGGATCGAGGCACTCTCGAAGTGGCTCTAGGCGCTCGCGCAGCGGATCGGGCGGACGTTCCCGAAGTGGATCTAGACGCTCGCGTAGTGGATCTGGATCTAGACGCTCACGCAGCGGCTCCAGGCGTTCACGAAGCGGATCCAGGCGATCACGCAGTGGATCTGGGTCCAGACGATCACGCAGTGGATCTGGATCCAGACGATCACGGAGTCGCTCAGGAGGTCGTTCCCGGAGTGGATCAAGACGCTCGCGCAGTGGTTCAAGACGCTCCCGTAGCGGCTCGAGGCGTTCTCGTAGCGGTTCTGGCTCTAGACGCTCACGAAGTGGATCGCGTTCTCGAAGTGGTTCCAGACGATCACGTAGTGGCTCAAGAGCCTCCCGTGCCGGCTCAGTGCGCTCTCGCAGCCGCTCCAACAGCGCTGGCTCCACACATAGTCCTAGTAAATCGAAAAAGAAGTCCCGATCGCGCTCAAATAGTATTGCCGAGTCTGTTACCTCACAAGATGCACTGAATCGCAAACGTGCTGCAACGAGTGACTCAGAAGGTAAGTTAACATATATATATATATCTTATGGGAATATACACATATATATAAATATATTATTTCCCTGCCATAGATGACACACCAAAGCTACAGAAAAAACGTGTTAAAATCACAGACACAGATAACGAGGATGAAGACAATACGGATAAACAGGCCACCGATGCGGACGATGAGGAAAAAACAAAGGAAAAAATTGTCAAAAGTTCAGATGATGAAAACACGCCCATTTCAAATGAACCAGAGTAAGTGCCCAAACAGTTATTTATGTATATATTTATTATAATTTGTATTATATATATTTATTATAATTTCTTTAGGAACAGCAACTTTATATCCGACTTCGATGCAATGCTGCTGCGTAAAAAGGAAGAGAAACGCGTGCGTCGCCGCAAGGGAGATATCGATCTGATAAATGACAATGACGATCTAATCGATCAATTGATTATAAACATGAAGAATGCATCTGACGATGATCGACAGCTGAATCTGGCTGGTAAGCCGGCAACAAAGAAAATTTCAATGCTCAAGCAAGTGATGTCACAGCTGATTAAAAAGGATCTACAATTGGCCTTTTTGGAGCACAATATACTCAACGTACTTACAGATTGGTTAGCCCCATTGCCAAATAAAAGCCTGCCTTGTCTACAAATACGGGAGAGCATACTAAGGCTGTTATCCGATGTAAATATAGCCATCAACATAGCTTGCCGGCAGATTTATATAACTATCTCTTTCCCTTCCGTTTACTTTCTCTCTTTCTCTTTTTTTTTCTTTTGATAGTTCCCGACCATAGATAAGTCCTATTTAAAGCAGTCTGGAATCGGAAAAGCTGTTATGTACTTGTACAAGCATCCACAAGAGACAAAGACAAATCGCGATCGTGCGGGTCGCTTGATATCCGAGTGGGCTCGGCCCATATTTAATTTAAGCTGTGATTTCTCAGCCATGAGCAAAGAGGAACGTCAAGAGCGTGATCTAGCGCAAATGTCCCGCAATCGCCATAAGAGCCCAGATCCAGAGCCCGCATCAAGCAGCAATCCACCATCGTTAAATCAAACATTCTCAAGTGAGGATAAATTGCTTCGTCCTGGAGATCCCGGTTGGGTGGCCCGCGCCCGTGTACCAATGCCTTCCAATAAAGATTATGTTATTCGCCCAAAGTCAACCGTAGAAGGCGAAGTTTCGGTAAGACCCTCCCATACTATTTTCCATATCTATCAATTAATATTCTATCCTTTTAAAATCATGTAGTCCTCAAAGCGCAAGCCCAACCGCTATGAAAAACATATGAAACGCTTCTTGGATTCGAAACGCTCGAAGGAGAGCCGTCGTGCCGTCGAAATATCTATAGAGGGCCGCAAAATGGCGCTTTAAGGATAGGATACCACTAGCTACACACATTTTATATACAGCATTCAAATCAACTGAACAAACCGAAATATATATATATATATATATATATATATATAGTATTATATATATATGCATCCATATATAATACTTAACGCCTTTCTGTAGATGTATGTATTTAAAAAGGCATCTTAAAGTGAACAATTCTCAATTCATTTTTATCTTTCAGACTTATATTCGACAATTGCTGGCCGGCTTAAGTAAATAATTGAGTTCCTCAAGTACCACATATGCCAATGGAAATGCTCTTCGCACACAATACTTAAGTCGCCGATGTCCTGTGATACGCTTTTTCAATGTCACACGCAAGTTTAATCTACTTACGACATACAAACATATATATATATGTATACATGTATGTATGTATATATATATATACAACAATCTCCTTGGCCTAGACCTCATAATGTTAGCTCGAACAAAATTGAGTTAAAATGCTTTAGCTGCCCACGCACTTAAGAGTGGCGACCCGAAATGCGAGATATCATCCATCAAGCCGAGGAGAATGAAGATAGGGCATAATAAGCAATATATTGTTCCAGAATAACTGAACCGACACAATTGATATGTACAATTAAGATGCTTATTAGAACCCGAATTAATAAATACGATAAATGAGAACTGCCATCTCATACTCCTCTTTATCATTTGCAATTTTACGCTATTGATATTTCTTAACTATACAAGGAGCCACATCTAGATATTGATTACATTTAAAAAAATATCAGAAATTGATAAATCTATTTTGCGTATATATACTATATATCTCGACTTTCAAGGCTCTAGCATCTTTTGTTTCTGAGTTCGAGGAGTTGCTACAGATGGACATGGCTGGATCGTATCAGCTCGACGTCCTGGTCAAGAATACAGTATATATGTATGAACCCTTCATGTGCCTGCTGGATATATATTTAACTAAAGTAAGTAGTATCTAGTGTTCTGCAAATACAGATTCATATTGTCCATATGCTAAGTAAACATGGATTTGTGTATATGTATGTATGTGTGTATGTATGTCTTCATTTGATAATTCAAACACTCATTTTTATCTCTGACGGTAGTTATACATTTGTTCTATACGTGTGTGAGAATAACAAATCGCATAGATACTTCCAGTCGGTAAACAATATGAAAAAAGAATTAATATTAAAAGTCAAATTAAGGGCATTTTGACAAAAATAAGAATAAAAATGAAAGCACCCAGTTGCGAATTAGATGAGAACGAAATGCATGACTATGCACATTTACATACATACATGCGCATATGTAACTGTTGTTGCAATGCATTCAATTTGAAACCGGTTTATTTTTATTTAGCGTTTATTATATATATATATATATATTTATATATGTATGTATGGGTATGCATATTGTTTTTGGCATTCTAGTATTGGTTTTTGTTGCGGTAAATTTTCCAGCGGGCCCTTGCTTTGATTTACTCCTCGCTGCTGCGGCGGCAATAAAAACTAGCTGAATTGTTGGTAGCCATTATCTGTACTTAAATCAGCAACACCCAGAAGGCATCACACTTTGTGTACATATGTAGGTCGCGTTCACCTTTTGTTGTTATCGCTTAATAAGTATTAAACCGGTTGCGCTTCACATATAAGTGTTCAAACGCATAAAGTGCTCCGCCTAATGTGGTAGTCGAGTTCTTTCGGTTCGCATTGAAATCAAAGAGACGCAAGCAAAACAAGACGAAACATGTCTGAATTAAAGAAAAGCGCTAAAATCGGCATTGTCGGCAGGTAGGATATGTCCAGATCCATGCATACATACAAACATACACAATTACATGAGATGTGCTTTGACAGCGGTCTGATCGGACGCTCTTGGTCCATGCTGTTCGCCTCGGTTGGCTACCAGGTGGTGCTCTATGACATCCTGCCCGAGCAGGTGCAGGGCGCACTGAAGGCAACGCAAAAGGAATTGATCGAACTGGAGGGCAAGGGCTTGCTGCGCGGCAAACTGAATGCGGCGCAACAATTCAGCTGCATTTCGGGCACCAACGATATCAAGCAACTGGCCAAAGGTGCCATCTTTATACAGGAGTGCATACCGGAGAATTTGGAGTGGAAACAGGAGCTGTTCAAGAAGCTCGATGATGTTGTCGATAGCAACACAATTCTGTCCAGTTCCACCAGCACGTTCCTGCCCTCGCTCTTTACCGCAAACTTAAAGCACAAACATAACGTGAGTTTCTTACACTTTTGGGGCCATGGAAAATTTATACAAATCTTTGTATGTGTGTGTGAGTGAGTGTGTGTGTGTGCTTATACATATCAGCATGTCGGGCGACATTATCTGCACCTGTCATTTGTCCCAGTGCTATTAGCATCTAATCTTGTACTTAGCACCAAGATTGATTTATGACCTTTTGCGGTTTTAGACTGTTGTCTCCCATCCCGTTAATCCGCCCTACTATGTGCCGTTGGTGGAAATAGTGCCAGCGCCCTGGACCAAGCCAGAGGTCGTGCAGAAGACGCGCGCCCTAATGGACGAAATTGGCCAGAAGCCCGTCACGCTGTCGCGTGAGATCGAGGGATTTGCCCTCAATCGCATTCAGTATGCCATTTTGAATGAAACCTGGCGTCTGGTCGAGGCGGGCATTCTCAACGTCAAGGACATTGATAGCGTTATGAGCGACGGCCTGGGCATGCGGTACGCCTTCCTGGGGCCACTGGAGACGGCGCATCTAAATGCCGAGGGCATGGCCAACTACTTTGAGCGCTACTCGAAAACAATCTATGCTGTCAGCGAGACCATGGGCGCCACACCCAAAATGGAGGGACCCACTGCCGTGGATATTGCCGAGCAGCTGAATGAAATGGTGCCGCTGGACAAGCTGGTGGAACGCCGAACGTACCGTGACAACTGTCTGACTCACCTGAGCTTATTGAAGAATAAGCTTAATAACAAATAAATATTATCACAAATTAAAGCAGTTTAATTCGGCGTACTGCAAGTACAAGCATTTATGTGAATTATTTATTAGGTCGACTTATAAATATGCAGGAAAGTTGTTTTGTAAATTTAGAGAATTAAGTACAAGGCTTAAACTGCAAAAACAAATGTTTTTTCTTCTTCTCGGTATCAGTTCACTTAAACTTACAAGGGACGTTAAAAAATAAAACGCGGACGGCTTCTTATATTTAACTTTGAAGTACTTCCAATCGAATTTCAATTATTTTAGTTGGAAACATCACATTTTGGCTGGCATTTATTGTGCAGCTTTCTTGGTGTAACTTGCAGGTCGCAAGCTAGGCGTGGACGCGCACGAGGAACTGGAATAGCTGATCACTGGTTTCAGGGATCTGCGCTGAAAGGAACGCATCTGCGGCATGGGTGTGCTGGTACAAAACAATTTGCTGCCCGTCTTGCCTTTTGCCGTAATGGGCGTGTCTTGGCCGTTGCAACGCGCTGTCGTTGAATTCAAATATGTGACCTCCGTGGATGCTAACGTTGGCTTCACCATAGGCACTACACGTTTGACGGGTATATTTACTTTAGTGGACGCACAGGGCTTAATCTGGGACTCATTTATGGCTGTGACTTTGGTGCGGCCGCCAGCCATATGGGTTCTGGCCTGTGCGGCAGCAGATGCGCTCGTTTTTCCCACAGTTGAACCAATGGAAAACGAATTGCGACGTTGTCTGAAGGATGCCATTGCATTCATTTTGTCACCCACGTTGGACAGCGCCTTCAAAGGCACATAGGGATTGTGGCTGTCACCGGAAGATTGCTTCGCCGGTGACTTTGGCCGATCCTGCTTGGACTTGTCGTGAATTGACAGGGATGATGATCGTCGTCGCAACGTATTCTCCTGGCTATTATTTGCAACTGATTGAACTGCTCTGGTTGTGCTCGGATGCACTATGCAGTTGGGTAATTGATTAACGCCCGTTGAGTTTACAACAAATATTACAGTTTGGCTGTGCTCCGATTCGCGATGATGTTGGTCGCTGTCATTGTTATGTAGCTTGGTTAGGTTGTGCCGCTCCAAAAGTTCGTTTATTTGTAGTGCTAAATTATCGTCAACAACCCCAGTCACATACGAATCTGGTTTCTTATGTGTTTTGTCGGGAGTTTGTTTTTGATATTCAGTTTCTGTAGCCGGACTTGCTGGCTTGTCAAGTGATTCAGCATCATATGTAGCCGAAGAGCATGTCATTGCATCTGGGAATTCCTGTATGTTTTCGTTGACCGTCCTAACATTATCTGCAGACGCTGCTTTCCCTTTCTACAAAAAACATCAAATATATATATGCTTATTTCTTTTGGATTGCGCGCAGTTAAAACTAACCTGTAGCTCAAGGTCCAGATCGAATGTTGCCTGGCGTGTGTACACGTGTGGTGACTCCTTTCCCATCCGACCACTTACCTCTGCAGTTGGGGTACTGCATTGGACAGCGGCACGGATCGATTCAAGGAGCTTATTGAATTGCTCCCTTTTGGATATGTCAACGTGCTCACAAATTAAACACTTCAGGTCTTGCAAGAGCTTTCCCACATCTGCCGCATTTGTGCCCAGCGTGGGACTATTCACACTAGTTGTTGGTGTAGTTGTCATTAGATTCTGTTCGCTAAGAACAGCTGCAGGTGGGTCGGATTTAGCTGGGGAGTCCAACATAGCAATTCGCATCATCTTTAAGCGTGCTTCGAATTCTGAATTGGAGCAGGCATCGTCACTCAGCGGGGTAACTGGACTAGTGTCTGGGATTGGATTTGGCTCATCTTCTATCAGCTTAACGGGCGATTCTGCCGCAATCATTTGCAGATTCTCGCTTAGAAACGAGCTCTCAAAACAGGATCCAATTACATTTGAAGGAAAATTTGCCAATTGATTTTGCGTTGGTGTCTTAATACTGGATAGCCTTGTGGCATTCAGCTTGGCCAGCTGTTGTAGAGTTCGGTGGCGCGACTCACTGCCAGTCGAGGAGTTCTTGTTCGCATCTGCATTTTTCGGTGAAAACTCCATGGTAACGGGTGGTGTCTCATTGTTAAAGTCATTATCTTCGTTTTCATGCAATTTGATGTCTACCGTAGTTTGTGTCCTTTCCATATCATTTTTAAAATTTTCGCCCTGTGTAGTGGTAAAAGTGATTAAAACAAAGGGTTCATGTATTGCATATGTGTGTGTGCGAACAGACCTTGATGCAGGCTTCTTTTTCCATCGAATCAAAAGGATCATAGGGTCCCTTAAAATTATTCGCTCTAGTAAGAACATCTTCGATGACTGTTTCATCTTTGACAGGCTCATCCCAACCTGTTAAATCAATAAGATTTCCAACATCACACATTTTATCAGACAATTACAATGAAACTGGCGTAAGCCTTTTAAAACAATGCAGAGTTTCCCGCTTCTAGTTCGTTCTAGTGATGGTAATTGTGCAACCTATGTATGTACAAAATAATGATTCGATACTCCCAATTAATATCGAGCTATGTGCGAGAACACATGTTAATTTAAATTCTCAGGATATATTATTTGATACCTTTTTAGCATACAAGCTATGATAAAAATAAAAAAGTACACACATATACGTTTCAACCATCCTTTAGCTAAATAAGTGACATTACTGAATGGCTCATTTGAACTGTCTTTTGCTATCGTAACAAAAGCAACAAAGTTTATGTATGTGTGTCAAATTAGCGGCAGTGACTGCTTGGAATCAGTGTTGAACAATTTTATACAGTATTGAGCGGCAACAAACTAATTCAAATTATTTGTGTATATGAAAGAAATGAAGACTTTAAATTAATTGGCAATTTACAATAAAACATTATCTGTGGTCAAATAAATTTCTGCTAAATAAGGCAACAGTGCATTTATGTATTTATACACAGAATTATAACATAAAGATGGCAACTTTTGAAATTTGTTTTCCTCATTGTACCATACGAGCGATCAAAAAACCGGCATCTATATTTCCAATATATAATAATATATAGCGCAAAAGTATCGATGATCATAACATCGTACTTATCGCAATTACATTATCATAAAATTTATATTAATCGATATATTCATTTAACAGCCCTGTCTTGTTTTAGTGTCACTCAATTTGTGCACATTTGTGTTGTTTTTGTTGCAGCTTTCGCAGTGATGATCTGCCAGAACCTGGACGTTAGTAATAATAACTGCAATCCGGATAAGCTGCCGTTGGACCGCTTGAAGTTAACGCTAACTGACACCGATGGCGTCAGACGTCAAGTTCCTGCGCTTGTAAGAAGCAGTTCAATTAAGGGTATTAACTGATTTAACGGTTACAAATCACCGATGATCTATTGCAGGATGTGCATTGGCTGACACGTGACAAGGCGTTTAGCAGCTACATATGCATGCTAAGCTCCTATGGCCGCATCAAGTCTGGTGCCGCACTGGAAGAGTGGCAACATATTGCCGCTGGCTGCCTGCAAGATTTCGAGTTTCTGCTGCAGCTGAGTCATCACGAGTAAGGGCTTACTCCTGACGGACGTACCCAAAAATATTTCTCTAATTTCATTCGTTGTAGATTCTGGTCGTATATGGTGTACGAGGAATCGGCAATGGCCTCTGTTGTTACCTTTCTGCAACGCGCCAATCCCTACTACCGAACGGAAAGAGACAGCAATACGCCGGAAGTAAATGAGGTGGCACTGGTCAATGCAAAGTCACTTTATGCTCAACTGCTGAATCGGGCGGTGCGTGTTGTTATGCGCCTGCTTACATCAAAGGAATCAGCTACAGAATGGATAACGCCGCAGCAGCACAGTTCCTTATTGTATGAAAACTATCTGATGTCCGTGCCGTTGCTGTTTGATCTGGTTATTGCAGTGGGCGATGCCGATGAGCAGAATTTGAAGATGTTGCAACAGATTTTTGAGACAGTGTTGCGCATCCAGCCGGACTATTTAAAGGATCTGGAGGAAGGATTGGCTTTCTATGAGAATGCCTTTCTTAGCATGCAAATTCAGGTCGAGAACGAAGGCTGCGAAGGCGCCGGCGGGGGCACACTCTTGGATCCCGATGCCGATACGCCCTATGATGATGTTGTATTATTTGCCTTAGACTGCGCCTATACGCTGCGCATGCTCCTCCAGCTATGCCCCACACTGCTCGCGGCCTGTGAGCAGATGAAACTTGTACAAAGGTATAAGAGAGAGAGAAAAAGAGAGAATTCGATGGGTTGTATAATGCATCTCTATTTCCATTTGTCGACAGCATTGCAAATTTCTATGATCTGACCGTCCCAATGCTGTATAGAAATATTTATCTGAACAATGCACAGGCTAGTTCCTTGCGTTGGCTGAATGAGGCGCGTCAACAGTTCCTGAACGTTGTTCGGCGAATAACTTCTGCGCAGCTGCAGTCTGGACGTGGCCAGCAGATGATTGAGCTGCTGCAGGAATGTCTATCAGCACAGACCTTTGTGGTTGACTATCAGCGTCAGTATCCGGTCGAGAACGACATTGAATTACTGCTGGACCGCTGTCCCAACATGTGAGTGACTGTGACTGTCATGGGCGTAAAATGTGATGCACATCAACTTTTCATATTCCACATACAGCAAAAACTACAAAGTAGATTTTGTAATAACTGGCTACCAGAAGGCACTAAGCGCCTGCACCAATGGTATCCTTGCTGATGAGCATCTGGCCGGCAGTCTGAACTCTGATTACGAAGAGGACGATGAGGTGGAAGATTCGCGTGTTTCGCCGCTGCCAACGGCTGCAGCAGAAGTAAATGGTGGCGGTCGTGACATTGATCTAGAAGTGTCCGCCGTGCTGGATGTCTTGCCGGATTTGGGCATGGGATTCATTCGTCGGGTGCTGACACGTTACGAGAACAGCGAGCAGGCGATTGCCGCAATACTAGATGACAATCTGCCGCCCGATCTAGTGCACATGGATAGGCAGGAGGTATACATACCAGCCGATCCCCAGGACAAATTGCAGCGGCAAACTGGTGTTCGTCATTACAATGTACACGACGGCGACAAGTACGATGTGCTTACCCATGATAATCCACAGTGCATTATTAAGCAAGGCAAGGGCCTGCCTGGTGCACCGCGCAATGCCGAGCAGCTGCTGGACGACAAACGCGACATTGGCAAATTAAAGCAGCGCTATCAGCAATATGCATTGGTTGAGGAAACACCTCATGAGGCCGGAGCCGAGTACGACGACGAATACGATGACAGCTATGAGGCATTAAATGAGGGACAAGCGCCGCCGCAGAGTTTGCTGCGTGCCAAGCTGCAGCAAGCCTCGGCGACAGCTGTCAGTAGCGCTTACGAAGCGCAAGATGCCTTCGAAGACGACCAGGATGATGAGGATGACGCCAGCAGCGATGATGAGCACAATGCGGCAACAAACACAAAAGGCGCCGACTTCTGTGAGAATCCCGAGGTAATACGTGCACGCTATCAACAGCGCCAAATGGCCAAGTACGGGCAGCGCACCCAGACTGACGTAGTGGGCGCACCCAAGGGCCAAGGTCAAACGCAGCAAACGAACCGCAATCGCGGCCAGAAAGAAGCAAATAAATCAACTCGCGCCAATCACAACCGCAAGGCGGGCGCTGCCTTTAAGCGCAGCAAGGGCATGATGTCTTGATTGCGGCTTTCTCACCTATCTTATTTATGTGGTATATTAAACTAACTGGCCTAAAACGTTCCACTAAATTTAAAACATTTGTAATTTGTTAGAAGAAAATTCAAAGCCTTGTCAGCAAAGCCTTGTTGCAATAAAAAGTGTTCAAATTATAATCAAAATTCATTTTTGTTTGCCAGAAGAATTCAAGGAAACATGTTTAATTTAACCTAATTATGCATATAAAGAAAAAAAATTAAACAACAAATTTAAAGCTTTGTGTTTCAGCATCAATTGGAAGCCGCCTGCTGCTGGTGCTCCTTGTATAGCACATTGAGTGCTTGCATCTTGGCGCTGTGGCCGCTCTGCTCGCACTTTCCATAGTTTGCGCGCACGAACTCTTTATAGGGTGTCACCAGCTGGTCGGTGAGAGACAGATTGTGGACATTTTCGACGCTGCAGGCCTCCACATTTACCTCAAACTGGCAGTAGTGGCAACGCAGCTGTTGCGCCTCATCCTCAAACTTAATCCGACCAAACGAGCGGCCACGGCACAGGAGGCAAGTGTACTTGTAGCTAGCATTGCAATCGCCAATCTCTGGCAGCTCAGGCATCGTTGATTTGGCGCGATAAGCCCTGTGGTTAAGCCAATTACATATATATGAATGTGTTAATCTGTGAAGTCTGTTGGTCACTCACCATTTGCGACAGTTGTCGCCATGTCCTGTCTCACCGTGGTAAACAAAGGCAGCCGCGTGACACATCTCGTGCAGCAGGACTTTAACCATCATTCCAGGCTGTTTTATGTTCTGCCACAATACAATGCGCGACAGGCGCTGACCACCAGCCTCAATCCGATGCTCGATGCTACTGGGCGTGTTCATGCAGTTCCTCCAGACAATGCTCGGACGAAGGCCACAATGGAAGACTGTGTGATTGAGTATGTTGAATAGGGTCTTGGCCAGCTGCACCCTGCATGCTCCAAACTCCCGTTTGCGAAAATTCACAGCAAGTGGATGACACATATTTAAGGGCGTTGTTGCTGCAAAAAATACATACTTGTAGCCATTGTTAAGGCAATAGGCATTTGCGAGCATTACTAACAATATTTACAAATTTATTTTAAGTTTTCTGAAAGTCGTGGTTGACTATTGCACTTAAAACTGGCTTCTGAAATGCAGCAAATCAAATAAAACTCATATGCACTTGAACAACTAACTCGTTATGTGCGAATCGCCCTTCTATGCGATTTTCATGACACCAATTAATACTTATATCTACATATTAAAGATGAAATTTCCTGTCATACCCAACAAAGATACGACATTAAATTTAACTCTTTCAATTCCTTTCATTTCTCTCTTTCCCACTCACTTGCTACCTATTAATTTTGGATGTGAACATGAGCATGAGGATAGCGATTGTAAATGTTAATTAAACTGACATATTACTAGTTATGCCTAATTAAAATAAATACAATCAACAAAGTGTATATTAATTTAGAAGCTTTTTTGATACATGTTATAATCGTTATAGTAAATCGCCCCTGATCTTTCACCTATTCCTATACTCCATTGTTATATTTGAACCGCCTTTCTATGCGATCCTCAAATACTTATAAAATGTATCGTTTTGAAGCTGTGACTAGAATACACAGATTAATGTGATTTGTGGATGCAGGAGTGAGCGTCTTGAAAAGATTTTTTAATATGATATTTGGTCATAAATCTAGATGTCAAGTGCCAAGTGTAAGTGGAATCTTATGGAAATAATGCAACAAACTTAAATAATTAACATAAGTAAACCTTATACAAATATATTTTCTATCGCGAAAATGAAGTACAGTCGGTGCCTTAATTGCACAGGTTACATAGATTTTTTGTTTATGTTTAAGGGGTGTCTATTAGTCGGGCTTTCTCGTTTAGGTAATATGCACTTTGTCAAATTTCGTTCTTAGACTAAGAAATTTGTCAATTAACTCACACCGAAGCGAATCCACGAAGCTATATACGCCCGTATGGGGCCCCATATTGCTGGGGATCTTCTTGTGCTGTTGACAATTGAGCGCACGCTGCTCCTCGCTGGGTAAGCCGCTCAGATCGATGGGTTCCTTGATATGTTGGGGAGTTTGACTCTCAAAATAGTTTGCATTGGCGCGCTGCACCATGTCGTCAATAAGCAGCATTTTCATATCATTTGTTATTTCGGATCCAAGCGCTTTGATACGAGATGCTACCGGGCTTGGCAGCGGGGGTTCTGTAAGCATAGGCACATTTAAAGGCGGAACGCTGCTTTTAGCTGTCCATAAACGACTGCGCAACGTGGGCGGCGGATCATCTTCATCCATATGATTATCCTCAAGCTCAAAATTAGACATGGGGTTGTAAAGGCGGCGCTGCGGTGCAACAAGACCCAATAACTTTTGCAGGCGCGTCTTCAGCTCACTATCGAACTCTATAGCAGCATCAGCCGTGGGCTCACTCTTGACAATTGCCACCGGCTGCTTTAAGTCCAGATAGATAAATGCATCCGATTCGATCATTGAGCTGGCGTCGCTGCTACTGCAGCTGTTGCGCATGGAAATTCGTCGCTGTTTGCGCGAAGGCTCACTCTTATCATGGGTGTAGTCTTCGTCATCGTCTTCAACATCGTTGTCACCAAAATCAGGATCATCGGAATCATCTAAATCAACATCCTGCGGCTCCGACGAATAATCAAACTTGTTGTCGATGCGTGCGCGCACAGCTCGTCCGCTTCGCGTGGTGATCACATTAGGGTTCAACACCGGCGTGGCATTCACTTCCAGTCCCAGATTCAGTCGTCCATTACAAGCTGTGTAAATTTATAATGTTACTTAATTCATAGATGCTTCAACTTAATAGTTAAGACGCTTACATTTTGACAACTTGCTGTTGGCTGGGTAGCAGTCTTGCTTGCGCTTGATTGGAGTACTTAAACGACTATCCATGGTGCATGCGCCGTCAGATGCGATCGATATTGTGCTTAGGCTGATATTGTTATGGTTGAGACTACGAGAGAGATTGTTATAGTTGTGACTACGGGACAACTTACTGCTGCTGCCATTGGTGTTGGTGTTGCTATCGCTTTCGGTTTCTGGTATGGTGTCTGTATCTGACAGGCAATCCCAGAGTTCTGGTTCTAATACTGATCGTGATGAACTGCTCAAATTTGATGCGCTGAAGCAGCTTACGTCTGACGAGGCATTTGATGAATCCACAACGACAAACACGTCCGAATCCATATCCGTGTCGTCACTGTTGTCCATATCACCTGCCGTTTGGGGCTTTCTGCACGTGAGATCGTGAGTGGCGTTTGCCACTGGGGGCTGCGTGTATTTTGAATAGTTGTGGATCAACCGACACAGTCAACATTGTGCTTGCTTGTTTAATACTTACCACGCTCGTGCCATTTTTACTGTCAGAAATCTCTGAATCGCTGTCTATGTTGAGAAATTCAAACACGTTTGCTAGACTATTGTAATGCGACATCTTGTCGGACATTTTTGTTTTGTTTTATGGTGCCTCTTCGTTGATATGCCGGCATCATTTAATACACGATGTTTCAGTGCTGCCAGATTGTTTTTTGCTGTGCTCGTGAGTTTTGTTTTTGTATCCATAATCATTGCTTGTCATCGATATAATCGATTGCATGGGAATCGAAAACGAACTTCAGTGTTTTGTGCGTTGTGCAGCACTAGTACTTTAGTAGCCAAAAAGCCGGAGTAAAGACGGCCTGTAGTAGAATTTTTTAAAACTAGTTTATTAAATCAACAAATTAAGATGGGGCGACGCTCCATAAACACCACTAAAAGTGGCAAATACATGAATCCAACAGACCAAGCGCGTAAGTAGCACCCGGCTGTAGTATACACATACGCGAATCTTTACTCACCCATCCATACACACAGGCAAAGAGGCTCGGAAAAAGGAGCTGAAGAAGAACAAACGACAGCGCCAAATGGTGAGAGCTGCCGTGCTCAAGAACAAGGATCCCTCGCAGATACTTGAAGAGATGGAAAAGATAGACGAGATGGGTAAGTATCATCAGATCTAATGTTATTTATAACCAACCCACATAACATTGAAGATACTGTGCATCTCTTTTCACCCTGCAGAGTATAATGTGCTGCAGCCGTCGCCTCTGAATGAAAAGGTGCTGCGCGATAAGCGCAAGAAGCTGAAGGAAACCTTTGATCGAGTTATGCGACTCTATGTAAGTGTACGTACATAAATCCCAACCAAATCTTAACTCGTTTTCTGTCCTCTGCTAGCATAACGATGAGCCCGAGCACTGGGCGGAACTAAAGCGCAAGGAGGTGGATTACGAGAAGAAGCGTCTGAAAAAGCAACAATACTACGAGAGCGTCAAACATGCCCAGAGCGTACAGATCGATGAGATCCCACTGCCAGCGCCGGTGACAGCAGCCAATGCTGGTGCAGGCGGCACGAGTACAGCCAACAGTGGCAATAATAGCAGCAACATCATCTTTCCAGGTGGATCAGGCGGCATACGTATGCCACCGCCGCCTATGACGCTAGCTTTGCCGCCTTTTGCGCCTGGCGCACCACCGGGTGTTGCCAAGAACAGCGAAATTGCGGCCGACTTGCAGTCGGATAAATCAAAAGAAGACGATGATAAGGATTGGCTTGGTGTGCCACCAGGGCCGCCGCCTGATCTCTTTGCCATGTCAGAGCTCGATTCGGATGCAGAGGGCAACACCGACTACGAGGGCGACGAGGAAGAAACGGCCACCAGCCCCAAGTTACAACAGCGCATGCAGAACATTGACGATTTCATGAAAGAAATGGAGCATGTGCACAAGCGCAAGCATCGAAAACTGCAGAGTGACGAGGAGCACGATAAGGAACACACTGATAAGGATGAGAAGCGCGACAGCGCCTCAGAGAGTAAATCGCCACCGGCCCGTCGTCATGTCAGCAGCCACAGCCGCAGCCGTAGCCACAGTAGCAGCAGCAGCAGTAGCAATGACGACGAAGACGACGATGACGACGCAGATGATGATATGGGCTCTGATGCCGATGCCAAGCAGCCCACTAGCAATGCTGCCAAAGAGCCGGTTAAGCCAATAGCTGTTGCTGCAGCCACAACGTCGGTGCCAGCGCCGCCAACAGCGCCCTCATTGCCTGCCATACCGTTGCCGCCAAGTGCGCCAGCGCCGCCGCAGCTGCCACAACTGCCGCATCTGCGCAACATAGCCCCGCCGCCGGGTATTATGTTCCGACCGCCACCGATGCGACCACCCGGACCAGGTCTAGCAGGATTTGGCCTGCGTATGCCGCCTGGCCCGCCGCCAGGAGCACGACCCCCACACGCTCTGGGCCCCATGCCGCGCATGGGCATACGCATGCCTCCAGGTCCGCCGCCAGGAATGCCGCCGCGCATGGGTGGCCATCATCCTAAGCATGGTAATACAAATCCGCCACCAAGCAAGGAACCGGGCAAAGGCGTCACCACGATCACAGCTAAGCCGCAGATAAGGTATGCTTCCTTTCAATCCTTGCCCACTTACATCTATTAATGTATGTGCGATTATCTTTTTTAAAGGAATCTGAGCGCGGATGTCACCCGATTTGTGCCCTCGACGTTGCGTGTGAAACGCGAAGATCAGCGCCGAGTAGCGAGAGGTAAGCATCCAGCTGGCGGTCACGATGTTAGCGAACGTAGCATCCATGCGCCGCCAGAGGCACACAAGAAGCCACCCACTAAGGATGACGCCTACCTGCAGTTCATGAACGAGATGCAGGGTCTGCTGTAGCACAGCTGCTATCTAAACTAAATGGCCGCTCTCAATGATTGTACATTATATGCGTAGTTTAATTTTCATTAGCGTAAGAAAAAGACACCAATGCTAAATAACCAATGACCAATTGGTGAAAAGTCGCAAACATTTTGACGACTCACTTATTTTTAAAGAAAGCAACAAAACAAGCGGCCAAGGACTCTGCAGTCCTTAGTACCGACGATTATGATAAATCCATGAACATGTTCCCTTAAGCATCTATTATTCAACCGAATCAAATACGGAGACTCCCGAAGTTTATTTAACTTGGCAAAGTCATCATAAGCTAATATATTTTCGAAAATATACATATGTATCAACATATATATATAAAATTGGGTCAATATACAAATTGACAGAGATAAAAACGCTTCAAATTCAATCGAACGATTTAAGAAACCGCCCATGATTTATTTTGATTTTTATAAGCCTCATGAATATGGCCCTGTAGTCTTTTGTTAACCTTTCAGATCGCTTATATGATATTAAATGGGTTAATTACATAATTTTTCTTTAATAGTTGGAGTATTTTAGCAATATCCTTTCAAACTAAAAACTTTTAACAAAACTCAAGATGGATTTCAGTTTTTGTAGAGTTAAAAAGAATAACTATTCACATTTTAATTAAAAAAAAAAATTTAGTCCAAAGCAAAATTATTTTTGATCACAAGCTCCCGGGCTTCTGGTCGCTCCGTCAATCTGGCAGCTTGGCAAGTCTTGAGGAGCAGCCCTATATATAAATATATATATATATAAATGTCTATCGAACGGATCTGGGAGCCCTATTGTTCTTTTGTAGACGCTGTCGCTGTTGTTGCTGTTGCTGTTGCTGCTGTGGACGTCTTTGGCGTTGTCTTCTTCTTGGCAAAGGGTCGCAGCTCAATCAAGTCGGTTTTCAGCGAACGGAAGCTTCGACGCAGCGAGTCGGACACCTTTTTGGTATAGCTGGTGCTGTTACTGCACAGGGAGAGCTTGTCCTCGTGGGCCCCAGTGCTGGAGCGCGTGGCACCATGGAGCGGCCGCAGTTCGTCCTCTTTCGTATCGGGATTCTTGGGATCGTCGCTGGGCGTGCTCTTCAAATACTTGCGATTGAAGTGCAACTGTGGTGTACCCCACTTGCGTTCCATCTCAAAGACCGCGCCACCGTTCTCCTCGGAGTCCGGTGTGTCCGGCGTAGTTGCTGCTGGTGCCACCTCGCCAAGTGCCTCCTTGTAGGTTCTCGTTATGATCATGCTGGCGGGCACGCTTTTGCCATTGACGCCGACATGCTTCGTCTGCTTATAGTCGAGTGGCTGCGGCAGACTCTGGCGCACGGGCTTGAGGCGGCGCGGCGACTTGACCGCCATAACGTTCACCCGATAATGCAGCAGCTGCGGGCAGGGAAAGTGTGTTATACGCTTGCCACTTGGGTTCACTCACCTTGGACTCACCTTCTCGTCGTCAACGAAGCGCGCCAGCTCGGTGAGGCCAATGCTGACACAGGTGCCCTCCAATAGAATATCCCTGTCGTATTCGCTGTGCACTGGAAACTTCTGGGTCAACGATAGCGCCTCGTTGTCCGGCTGCAGCAGCGTCACTTCGTAGGCATAGTTGTACTTGCTCTCGCGCCAATTGGAAGTGCATGTCATGGTGAAGAGGACGCGCTGCTTGTCGTATATCTCGTAAAAGTTGAACATCTCATCGTGCGCCTGGAACACATAGTAGCCCGTGAGGGGCTTGCGTCGCACGGCCATATTCCAGACAATATCCGCGCTGGCGGCACGGAACAGCTTGTCCGTGTGCTGCTCCTCCAGATGCTGCTTCCACTGCACCTCCCTGCCCTGCCACTTGCAATCACCCCAGACGCGTCCCATGAAGCACCTCATCGGCTTATAGATGCACTGCTGCTCATGCCACGGCAGCAGCGCCACCGGCATCCTTACCCCACAGCCGCCCGCCGCAAAGCTGCAGCCAAAATGCGCCTTGGCGCACAATGCCTCGATTGTCAGCGAGCGCGAATTGGTGAATCCCTCCTGCAATGAGCAATAAAAATAAGAAGAATGGCAATACATGAACTCTTGATGCTCTTCTCGCGAAGTGGACGGGAGAGCAAGACCATATCGACATATCAGTCATGTTTACCTGAAGGCTGTCAAACGTATTATTAAGACTAAACTTCAGTTTCCAAATCATATTTCTTATATAATTATTCCTATATAGAAGTTATATGTTAAAGAAGTCCGACTGGATACGGGCTCACACATGCGTTGGAGAATGTGTTTGGTTGGACTTGGAACTGTTGTTGGGCAGATCTCTTGAGCGAGTGCGAAAGGCTTTCCATATAAAATCTTATTTTTCGACCGATTCTTTCCAAAGATTTATATGATACGGCAAAAGCCCGCTAACAACAAGTTTTAGCCACATTTTGGTCAAAATTTTAATTACACATCAATCATACTGATCAAGAATATATATATGTACTATATATACATATATAAATCTTGTTCCATATGTTGTTTACCAAATCAAAGTTGATTGTTTTCCGATAAATCTCTTTTATATATCTATATATATATATATATATATATATATGTAGCCTGTTCTGTTTAACTAAGAAAATCTGTTGGAGAAATCCTGTTCGGCTCTGAATCTATCTATATATCTATCCATCTATCTATATTATATTGGACAATAGTGCTTGCAAGCATTTTAATGATATTGTTTAAGCTGCCAAGCAAATAAACTTTTATTGCATTCAACAGAATTAAAATGTATTAAAATTTGATTTATTGGATTTGGAAAAATCGGAATCACTATCAGCATACTATATATATTGCCTATATACTATATATTGGCATAAAAAAGGCTTAATCCAAAAATAAACAAAATTAATTAATTAATTTATTTTCGATTTTACCTGTAGGTATGAATTGAGTATAACTACTTTTGGCGAGATATGGTAGATGCTTGAAAATCGGCAAGACGAACGTGTTAATATAACCCGGCCTTACCCGTGGCACGTATAAAATAAATTCCCTCAAGGATCTTTGAAATTGAGCAAACAACTTTCATGCAACCGTCTTCCGCCCATTTTTCACTGTGACGGGTGAAATTGCCCAAAGCGCTGAAGCACGTATTCATTAAGTTCTTATGTAGAGCTTTGAAACTAAATTGAATGCAAGTCGGACAAAACTTAAAGCTTGGCCCAAAAAGTCGTTGATCCCTTTGAACTCTGGGAATACGATAGGAGATATTCCAAAGTGAATATATGGATGCCCGGGCTGACACTCAAGCATCTAGATAAACTAGAAAACAAGGTTCCGTTAGCGAACAACCATGACTTGAGAGGCTTCACTGTATTTTGCTGGCAAGACGTCATATAACATAAGTAGAAGCGATAAGATGCGAAGTGCTAGATATCGCTTGCCCGACACACTGACGTCAGCCAGACGGAGAGGCAACTGATTGCCATATGTACAACTGTGTGTGCATATAGAAAATGATATCTCGGCTGCTGATGGACATACCTTACACAGCGGACACATGAGCAGAATGCGGGTGCACTGCTCGCACACGCTGTGCCCGCTCTTGCAGAGGAGTACCGGTGCCTTCATGGGGCCCGCACAGCCGGGACAGCGCAGCTCCTCGATCAGGCTCTCGTAGTGCTTTGCCGATATGGTTGCTGGCGTTGGGCTCGACTGCTCGGCGCTCGTTGCTGTTGTTGTTGTTGTTGTTGCAGTTTCAGTTGCTTTTGTTGTTTCCGCAACTGGTGCAGCTGCTGCGACGGCCGTCTCCGTAACGCTGTGCCGCAGTAGGGCCACATCCCCATTGGACGACGGCGTGCGTCCATCGCCGGAGCCGGTGCTGCGCGTACGACTCAACATGGGCGGCTTGGGTGGCGGCGACAGCGGCGAACGGACCAGCGTCGATGTGACCAATGACGGGGACGGCAGCGTCGCGTATTTCACGTTCAGCGCCAGACTGTTGGGCGGCGGCTTGCGCATTTCGGGCAACGATTCCGCCTCGTTGCTGGCCTCCTCCTGGATCTCGTTGATGGTGCTTTTGAGGAAGATGCGTCGCTGCTCGTTGATTTGCTCGATGCTGCTCAGCTGGCCCAAAATCTTTAGCTGTTCGGTGTTGCTGTCGCTCGCCGGGATCGCCGGGGTCGCTGGTGCCGTTGCCGCCGCTGCCGTGCCGGAGGTGCTGTTGCTGGCGGCGGCGCACTCCTCCTGCAAGGAATGGCCATTGCTGGCACTGGTAGCGTTGACTTGGACGGCACTGCTCATGTTTCCTGCTTGTTGCCTAATAATTGTATAATCGCGACTAGTACTTGGGACTTGCACAGCTCTCGATGCCTCCGCCCGTTTATGTATATATCGTTGCTGCTTGTCTATCTATGAGTGTGTGTGTGTGTGTGTGTGTGTACTTGGTGAGTGTGCCGCACCGTTTTCGTAGCGCGGCGCGTCTTCTATCTTATCAGAACCGCCTAACTAGGCTGCCAATCGATTTGGATTTTTGATATATGTACATAAATATATATACATATATATATACGGCACACATATATATATAGATATATCTACGTATTTACCATGCCCATTTCACGCACGTTAACTATCTGCTTAGTTAGTCGAACTGCTCTGTCTCCGTCTTCGTCTCCGTCTCCGTCTCCGGCTCTTCATGCACGATAGGCGTCTTCTTGCAATTATCTTTCGGTTAGAACTGCGAACAGTTAAATGTGTGGACATGTATTCCACTTGTTGTCTTTCTCGATTTGCCACGTTCAGGCTTTTGCTTTTCACCAATTGCTGCATTTGTTTTGCCTCAGCCGAGCCGTGAAAATCGTGGCCAATGTCAAGGCGTCGTAGGGCTTACTTTCGCTTGTTTACAACTAATACATATGCATATATTGAAAACATATATACACATGTATACAATGCTCATGCTAAACAATAAAGGCCAGCTGTAAGAATCTAACAATAACCTTTCGAATCCACTTGGAAACCTGATTTGTTACAAGTTATACCATATTTATCCAATCGGAAGTGCCCGACTTGGAGATAGTTCTAATCCAGCGCCGTTACAATTTCCTGCTAATTTCCTTGTTTACATAAGTTCCTTCTTTTTTCCCTAAGTCCTTTATTATGGGAAATTCCCTCTTGATTAGCTACGGCTTGTACTGTCCGAATTTAATCAAATTTCGAGGCTTCAATATGGCATACATAAGTGTAAAAACTGTAATACAAATTATGGAAGATATTTTTATTACTTCAAGTCTATAGTTTTTGTAGAATAATCGGAAAGTTGCTGATCCCATTTGAGAGATTGCGCCTTCTGCTTGTCGCACACATTTACACAACATTTGAGTCTGTAAAGAATGAAAATCTTTTGGACTTGTAAAGAATTAACTACAATTTGATTGAAAAGTGTAAGACATGGTCACACTGCATTCCAAAAAATCCGAATTCTGATTGGGAATCCACACTTGTCAGCTTTCAAGCACGCATTGATTTATTAAATGATTTGTTTTGTGAGTCTGGCAACGCTGGCGAGCGCGCGTTATCTTTATGAAAGCAATGGCAAAATATTTAACTAAAATGTAACGCAATAAGAGAGTTACGCGTGTGTCCATGGCAAGGCACGGCGTGTTCAGGCTGAAAGCACGAAATGTAAATACTCTCCAGATGCCCCTTTATAGGCATGGTCTGGGCACATGAGATCTTATCAGTCACAATCAAGGTAGTTGGTACTTAGCTAAACAGTTAAATCAAGCACTAAATAGACATAATTACTGCCGCCATAGTCAAAGCAGCAGCGGCAACAGCTGGAGCCTCAATGTGACGTTGAAGGTTAAACGGCCGCCTTGGCATTCAGTTGGCCTGTTAATTGGCGTGCGCGCGCAACAGCATCCACCACCGCCTTCGACTGCCGCCTCCAAGTAGCTCAAGTAAGCAGCTATAGTAACGGACAAATTGCCCGGTTAGTTGCGGTCTCAGTCTCGTTCCCATCGGGTGTGAACATCATGGCGCCACGGCATATACTTGATCTTAGCGTTGAGGAGCAGCGCAGCTTTATTGACTCCTTTGATATGGTAATCAGCGATTGCGATGGCGTTGTCTGGCTGCTGGTTGGCTGGATACCAGGTGCCGGCGAGGCGATAAATGCGCTTAAAAATGCCGGCAAATCCGTCAAGTTCGTGTCGAACAATAGTTTCCGCACCGACGATCAGTATTTGGAGAAATTTGATCATATTGGCGCCATCAATGTGCAACACGACGATGTAGTCCATCCGGTGAAGAGTATTGTACGCTATTTGCATAAGCACAAGCCCGGCAAACGCGTCTACTCGCTCATGTCGTTGGAAGCCAATGAGACGTTGCGTAAGCACGGCATCGAGTATGAGTCATTGGTGGGTCTAAACAATTCCTGTATTAATCTAAAACTAAAACGAAATCATATAACTGCAGCAAATCAAGGAGCATCTGACGTCGGCGTCACTAGTCAATTATCTCGCAATTGAGCAAACTGTGGACGCTGTGCTATTCGACATACATCTGGACATGTCATACGTGGAGCTGGCCAAGGCTATACGTCATCTGCAGCTGAACGAAAACTGCCAGCTAATTGCGGGTGGCAGTGATGTTATTATGCCACTGGCCGAAAATCTCAATGTACCTGGTTTCTATGACTTCTTGCAGCACGTCAAGCGCTATACGAATCGCGAGCCAATCTTTCTTGGCAAGCCATCGCCAATACTTGGTGATATGCTTAAGGAGATATACAATATACAAGCGCCCGAGCGATGTATTTTTGTGGGCGATATGCTGGTGCAGGATATACAGTTTGGCAAGTCCTGTGGCTTTCAATCACTGCTGGTGCTCTCCGGCAGCCTTACCAAAGAGGACATGATTGCAGCGCCACCGGAGGCGCAGCCGGACTACTATGCCGACAGCCTGGCCGATTTCATAGAGTTGTTTAAGAACGTGCAGTAGCAGCCAATTGAGCACAGTTACCATTTTATTTCTCGTTGATGTAGTTGTTAATGTTGTCCAGTCCATGTGGGTTTAAATATATAATTTACAATCCGTTGAACAAATCGTTTTAAAGTTCCAGATCCTCGGGATGATAGAGCTCCGAGAGCAAACGGTAAACATAGGAGGGAGCATGACCGCCGCTGTGAATAAGCAAGAACACGATCGGTGTCTAAACGAGAAGTTGGCAATAAAGGACACCTACGTATTTGATATGAAGAGCGTGACCAGTTCGGGTGGCACATAGTCAAACATGGGACTGTACACCTTGGCATCGCGCGCCGGCACAGAGTCATATGCAATCACATCCTCGGCGCAGCCAACCATATTAAAAGCATCCTGCTCACACAAGTGCAAAGGTGACAGCTTGTACATGGGCGCCAGCACAATGACCGGCACTGAGTAATGCTTGGCAGCCAGGGCAACTGTGTAGGCGCCACATGCGGCCCGCAGTCCGCCGTTGGCTAGAACGCTGTGTGTGCCAATGATGACCTTGTTGACGCGCGACATCATCGCGAATATGGACGCATCCGGTATTACAATAATCTCCACATTCTTCTCATGAGCCAAGGAGGCAGCTAAATTGTGTCCCTGCGGGCACACAGAGATAGAACGAAAGAGGGAGGGAGAGATAGATTTTTAAATATGCATAGAGGGATTAGTCAAGTACATCCATCCTACTATTATAAACAAAAGGAACTCGTCTCGCGACACGTGGAGCAAATGAATAATTTTAAAATGTTGCCGCAGAGACAAGGCTGAGCAAGTAACTGGCAAAGCTGCATTTGGAAATGTAACGCATGTTAAGCGCAAAGAATATTATTTCTTCGAATCAATCGTCAACTCAAATATATCTCTGTTTCAAAAATCGAATTGGGTTTGCAAGAGAATTAAAAAAGTAAATTTGATATTCTAAATTGCAGCCGTAATGAACTGTATGGGAGTAATCGGTCCCGCTCCGCAACCGGTAAGAGCCCGCTTTAAATTTGATGGCCCGCCAAAAGTGCGCCGCTTGACTCACCCGACAGGCTGGAGCGCACTCGGCTACGATGATAGTAAGAAGCTGTCGCTTCTTGATGGCCCGCTTGAGAAAGTTTTCGACGCTGCGCGAGTGTCCGAGCGTGAGTATTATTTCAGAGGAGTGTATGTGCTCCTCTGCCTGGACACTTATGTTCTCAGAGCTGGTTTCCAGTTCAGTTTCAACCTCCTGCAAATGATCAAGCAGAGCTTCACGCAGCCCCTGCTGCGGCACCGAGTAGTCCACGCTGACGCAATTCTCGCTGGTCTGCGTGACCAGCTTGTGCAGCGATAGCGAAGCCTGCGAGTCGTCGGCAAAATGCTGACCTTTTGCCTGGAGCAGCTCGAATTCCTCACGCGTCAGCTTCAGTATGCGGCGTGCCATGTTCGAAGTGACGGTCTCTTGTGGCAGTGCCGCCTTCATGATTCGCGACTGGGCGCGCACAATTTGCATGAGTGCGCTGTAAATTGTGGTTAATAATTGATATAACTGATAACCTCAAGCCAGACTTACTCTGCACTTTGCCAGGTTTTGCTCATAATTATATACTTGAAGATGTCCAGCGTCTTGTTGGTAATGCTGTAGGAACCTTCCACCAAGCTGCAGATACATTTGATGGTCAGTCTAACATAATACATTATGTTGTTATACGTGTCTTACCCCATTTTGACGGCATGTATCAGTTGTGTTACCTCGTTTAACGGCTGTTCACGCATTTTGACAATGTATTTTTTTTTGTTACAATGCAATAAGTTAGTCGGTGTTAATAACAAATAGCACAGGCAACGTTGGCCCAACAAAAACAAGTTGCAATCGATGCCAGCAGCTGCAAAACTACTCGTACTCGATGCCCATTGTCGTTGCAATTGTTATCGATATCGGAGGCATTCCATTGGGCAATAGCCATACAAAAAAAAAAAAAAAAAGCAAAAGCAAAAACAACAATGCACGATAAAACTGGACGCAATATGAGCTGAAAGCTTGTTTACGTGTCCGTGCCTTCTTCATAGCCGAAAAATCGCCGAAGAAGCAACGCGCACGGCAGGCGGGCAGAGCGTACTGTCTAAGCAATTGTTTATCACCGAAACAGGTGTTTCCCTTTATTATTATTTTCTCTTTTTTTTTTGTTTTTGTTTTCGTTTTTGTTTGGCTTAAACACTATTTTGCCTTAAAGTCACGCTTTGCCGGTTCTGATACCAAAACAGACGCCAAGCGCAAAATGAATATACACGGTAAGTGCGTCTAGTTTTTAGTTTTAGGAAACTATGTAAGTAGTTGACCATTCACCCACTGACACGATGGTCTCCACTCTTTCTACTCGTGCAGTTAACACCAACACCCTCAAGTACATTAGCCTGCTGACATTGACGCTGCAGAATGCGATCTTGGGTCTCAGCATGCGCTATGCCCGCACAAGGCCAGGGGACATATTTCTCAGCTCCACAGGTGAGGCACTGCTCAGACAACGTAAGCAGATGCGTAAGCAAATACAAGCACACACCTACACACACACACATGGATACACTTAGTTGTAATGGGGCCGCAAAAAGGTTCAGTCAATTAGAGCGAACTACAACAACTAACCGAGCAAAGCTGATAAGCAAATCATGTTATATACTTCCTGTGTGCTGGTGTATGTCTGTATGTTAGCGTGACGTATTGCTTTGGCTGACTTAATGTTGCAATTTATCATCTTGTTATTAATTTGTCGCCCGTTTTCTCTGTTTTCGCAGCGGTGCTGATGGCCGAGTTCGTCAAGCTGATCACCTGTCTGGTGCTGGTCTTTAATGAGGAGGGCAAGGACGCCCAACGGTTTGTACGTTCCTTGCACAAGACCATTATCGCCAATCCTGTGGACACGCTTAAGGTGTGTGTGCCGTCGCTGGTTTATATAGTGCAGAACAATCTGCTGTATGTGTCGGCATCGCATCTGGATGCGGCCACCTACCAGGTGACATACCAGCTGAAGATACTGACCACCGCTATGTTTGCCGTTGTTATACTGCGCCGGAGGCTGTTCAACACGCAATGGGGCGCCCTGGTTCTGCTCGTATTGGGCATTGTATTGGTGCAGCTGGCTCAGACGGATGGCGGTGGCAGTGCTGGTGCTGGTGCTGGTGATGACGCCGCTTCCTCAGCGCCAACGGCGACAATTTCATCATTGGCGCCCGCCCAGAATCGCATGCTGGGCTTATGGGCGGCACTGGGCGCCTGCTTTTTATCGGGCTTTGCTGGCATATACTTTGAGAAGATATTGAAGGGTGCTGAAATCTCCGTATGGATGCGCAACGTGCAGCTCAGTCTCCTGAGCATACCGTTTGGACTGTTGACCTGCTTTATTAACGATGCCAGCCGCATCTATAACTATGGTTTTTTCCATGGCTATGATCTCTTCGTTTGGTATCTCGTGCTGCTGCAGGCAGGTGGTGGCCTTATCGTGGCCGTCGTTGTTAAGTATGCGGACAATATACTAAAGGGATTCGCCACGTCGCTGGCGATCATCATCTCCTGCATTGCATCCATTTACATTTTCGATTTCAACCTAACGCTACAGTTCAGTGCCGGCGCAATGCTGGTCATCGCCTCAATATTCCTTTACGGCTATGATCCTGCCCGTTCTGCCAGCAAGCCTGCGCCGCACAATCACTCGGCCGATGAGGAGAAGCTGCTGCCGCGCGTCTGAGACAATAATTCATCCGACTCCAGACCTAATCCATGGCAACAACATTTTGCCAACAGTATTGTATTGTCGTTTGTTTAGTTATCTCTTTCCTTTGGGCACCTCCTGCCGCCCATGTGATGATCGTTCGTGTACTTCAATTTGATATTTGTACTGCTTTTGATATTCCATGCGGAAATATTTCGCATTCCTACACAACCTCATACATTTGTGTGTGTATATATATATATATATATATTTACATTAAGTCCCATTGATCGAATTCAAGAAGGCTCGGGTCCACATTATGTATTTATAGTTCATATAACCTGTGCCAGACCACTCAGCAAATTTTATGTGTCGAATAAATTCAAAGCAAAATTTGACCAAGTAAAGCTTGGAGCATTTTATTCAATGCAATTTTAAGCTATATTTGGAAACGTTGTTTTTCATTATTATTAAATGTTGGTATGGTAAACCGATTCCATGGATGACGTCCGATTAAGAAATACGGGAATTGGCACGATGTTTAGGTTTAGGCAAAAAAAAAAAATGAATATGAAAATCGGGTTCTCATGAAAACAAGTAGTACATTCTTTAGCAAATAATCAGTGAGGCGATTATATACGTATGTATATTAGGTAAAGTGCAATTCGTATAGTATATAAGCCCGATGGAAAAGCGTATTCAGTAAGTCTGACCTAACTTAAAGTTTTTATTTTATGCAGTAAAATATACATATGAATGTTTAACATTAATGAGGAAATCAAATGGTAGGTCTTCGTTGATCCTAACTAACGAGCTTAAAGAGTATTTCTTCTTCTACTGAGCGTGCACTAACTTAAAACTTAACAAAATAAAAGAAACTATGAAAACGTTAAAAAAAAGTGAAAGAAATAAAAAAAACCTAATCACACCAGGCCAGGGTTACATCATCGACGGAGTTCTGCAAGGCAAGGACCAGCTCGTAAATGCGCAGCGCTGGGCCGAGCTTCAGGCCGAACCGATCGATGATATCCTGGCGCGTTAGCACCATTAGCGCAGCACCATCAATTTCCTGGGTCTTGAAGACGTCAGCCTCACGCGGGTAGTACTTCTCCACATAGCTAACCACCTCATCAACGTTCCAGGTCTGCACGGTCGACGACGGATCGCCGCTTTCGGGAACTGCTGTCTGAGGAGTGTTTGTACTCTCTCCATTCTCTTTGTCTTCTATTGAAGTTGGCAAAGCTGGAACCGGGACCGAGGCGATTGGCGGCGACTGTGGCTGCGTCGCCTCCTTGGTCTCTTTGCTGGGCTCGTTTTCTTGCATTGATAGCGTTGTCGCTGCGCTGGGGGAAGCGTTAACTACAGTCTGAATTTTGCTGGGACTGCTGCAACGGTCGGTTAAGCCATTTTTAGTCAGCACTTGATTGGCGGCTATCTTTTTGGCAACGACGACAGCTGGATCAGAAGTGGCCCGCTTCTTGCGTCCAGCCTTGGATTTACGCGGCGGCGACTGCGGCTCTATTTTGGCGACATCATCGTCAGTATCTAACGAGTTGTATCTGGGATCACAGCTGTAGCACTTCCATTTGACGTCATCCAACTTGTCGCGCATCACGCGCGGCCAATGGCAGTCCAAATGATAAACATTCGCGCAGACACAGCACATCAGCAACTCCTGGACTGTGTCGGCGCACTTGGTAGTCATGCAGTTGCGGCAGCGACGACATTTCTCGCATTTGTATTTCTTACGTGCATTGGTTAGAATTTCAAATGTGATCGGCAGGCAGGTAAAGTGCCCTGTAAAACAATAAACGGCAGCTGTTTTAGCAACAGCATCAAGGATAACCATGCTACTTACATTTCAAGGAACAGGACTTGCAGGTAAGAAAATTACTTTTATAGCCTGAGCCACGCTTGGCTTCGCTCTTGCCGCACTTCATGCAAGTATCAAAATTGCGCTGCTGCTCCGCGCTGGGCACTGAGACTGTCTCGCTGGTTTCCTCTTTAGCAACTGTTTGGTGCGCCACTTCGCTGGCACTAACAAGCGCTGCTTGCTGACTTGGTGGATTGGTGGACTGCGTTGCCAGCGTCTGTGCCTGCGGCTGCGGCGAAAGCTGCCGCTGCTGTTGTTGAATTGCGCTAGTGTTCTGTGCGGGTGACGGTGGCTGGGCTGTTAACGGCGCCGGTGCCGGTGCCGGCAGCGAGTTGCGCGATCCGCGTGATATGTAATTGTCAGACGGATCGTAAACTTGTTTGGGTTTCTGTTAAAAGTCCAATGTGAGATCAGAGCGTTGCATTTTGCAGTTAACACACTGTTTTAGTTACCTTGACACGACCCGTGGTGCGCACAGCGCCTGGCGTGTTGCCGCTGCCGCTGTTGGCATCATTGCTGTTGCTGCCGCTGCTGATGTTGGGTGAAGCGTTGTTATTTATTTTGCTATTGTTGTTGTTGTTGTTGTTGCTGTTGTTGCCAAGAGCAGCATTGCCGACACCAACATCATCCTTGTCTTCATCCTTGCTGCGCTTCATATCGAGCTGCTTAAATGTCTTGGCTGCCACTAAACCAAACAAAATTCCTGTTGACTGTCTTCACTGCAATGCGCGCTCGCCGCTTGTTTAACGTACAATCCGATAAATTATCGATACCTTAAATGAGTACACACCGGATATCGGTTTTGTTGTTGCCCATTCTGCAGAAATTTGTCGTTAACCGCGCGCTGCTGCTTCACAAATTCATAATTTGTGATTTATTATGATTCATATATGGGTCTATAAATCTAAAAGAACATTAATAATGCAGTGTCAAGTTGAAAGACTTTTAATAATAATAGCTTATAAATAATTTTATTTTTTAAATGTATTTATTAAATTTTTTAAATGTATTTATTAAATAATATTAATAAATAAAATACATTTATGCTTGTTTCTGCAGTTTTATTATTACGAGTTGATTTTCATCAATCATCAATTTTTTAATTAAATTACTGAAAATTTGCTTACTTTCTTTTATTTCGATGTCTTTTGTGCGTCTTTAACAATTTGTTGCGAAAAGCATTATAATAAGGCAATTCAATGATTTTAAACGTACAATAACTTAACTAGAATTTAATTTATTTTCAACTAGATATATATATATATGTATAAATAGACGGTATGTCCAACATGATGTGCGATTTGTGGTCACTGGAAGCGAAGGAGTGCCCCAGGTCAGGAAGAAGAGCTCAAGTAACATCAGCAACAGAGGAAAAGAAACTAATTTAGCTTTGGCTTCATTCGATCTTGATGCGACGACCGTACTTCCAGGCCAAATGCATCAGTTCCCGGTGTGCCAGAGCCCAGGCTAGCAGGCACAGAATGCCTGCGGCCAAGCCAACGCCCATGTGCGTTCCGAATACCGCATCCCGATACTATACAAAATTTGAAATTCCGCATATAAATTAATAAGTGCACAAGGCTGAATTAGTGCTAGTATAACAACACTCACCATGTAGCAAATCAGGCCGGCCAGCAGCAGCGTGCCACCAAATAGCTTGCCAGGCCACAGTCCTTGCAGAGGATTTAGGCCCAGTGGCTGATACTGGTGCCAGATGTACCTGGTGCTGTAGAGGATGCGACCCAGCATATTGATGCAGTTGGCAAAGATGAAGCCGACCGGTCCGAAAATGCCCGTCAGAATGTACGACAAGATGAGGAAACTTATTGAAAAGATTGCCATCAGATAATTGTACTTATCAATGTCGCGACTGGTGTTGGTCGCAAACATGTAGCCCTCGCTGATGCCATTCACGGACAGCAGATAGATGGCCAGGCAGTGCCACTGCAGTAAACGCTGGGGCAGTCCGCCGGCAACGAAATCCTCGCCGCCGTACAGCAGCAGCAATGTATGCGAATAGTTTTGGCCAAAGGTGAACACCAGCAGGCCAATGGAGCTGACGCCCAGCAGCAGATTGTTCAAGACACTGCTCGCCTGACGCACGCGCTCCGGCGGCTGCTTGGCCAAACGTGTGTCACGTGCGATGGTTTGCGTAAAGTAGAAATAGGCGCTGTCCTCAATTGGGCGGAATATAAAGCGAGCCGCCATGCTGCCCAGATTGTTCACCACATCATAGGTGGCCTGCTCGCCAAAACTGAGCACTGGCGAAACGGACATAACATACTTCTCGCCCTCGGTTAGGATCTGCTTGAGCACGCCCTGCTTGACAAAGCTGAGAGTCAGCGTTTGTAGCTCTCTGTTGAAAAGGTCGCCTCCATTTGAGGAGCTCAATACACCCGGCAGCAGCTGCGATAGTTTTGTGAATGGAAAGTCCTCCATGTGGTCGAAAAGTGAGCGCTGCCAGGAGTTGAGAACGTTTACCGCCTTACTCTTGCGTACTTGCTGCTGGTGTAGCTTGAATTCGTTGAAGCTCTTAATATAGAACAGAAAGAATCCGAACTGACCTAGAACAATCGTCGTGGCGCTGGCCAGTTGGGCTATGGCAAAGGCGCTAATAGCCGCGCTGCGGTCATCGATGACAATCCACAGAAATATAGCCGAACGCACCAGTATGTGCAGCGTGTTAACAACAATCTTCAGCTTGACAAAGCAAAAGACCTGGGCCACAAAAACCGTCGACTCGGCCACTAGCTCGAGGACGCAGGATAGCGCCACCGCGTAGCAGGCGAACTCGTATTGTGCGCTGAATGGTGCATCCACCGCTGAGAGCCAGTGCAGCCAGATATAGAGGCACGGCGCGCACAGAGCTGCGCAAATGGGGACTCTGCATATGAGAGGGAAATAAGTAAATAGACTACCAGGAGAGGTGGGATCTGTGGCAATCGGCCTGGCACTTACGTAAGCCACATCTGATTGATTAACTGCGCCCAAGAACACTTGTCGCGCTGCTGAGAGTTGGCACTCAGTGCCGCCCGGTTGATGGCCTCGCGCGACAAGAAGAGTAACGTGCTCTCGAGCAGCAGCAGGCGTACATTCATAATGCCCAGCACTTCGCGACCTACATTGCGCACAATGTAGGCATTTATGCCGAACGTTAGGATGCGGCACAGTATCTGCAAGATAACGACATTGACAACGTCCACAATATCTGACTCACACGTTTCGGATTGTTGAATGTTTTGATTTTGGTTGCGGCTGGCTCACCTGAAAGATGATACTGAAACCAGCGCCCAACAGGCTACTCTCTAGCACATTGCGCGCCATCACAAGGTGTTACTTTATGGACATAAACTGCTATATCATAGCGCACAAGATAGAAAATCAAATCAAGTGCCAACAAAATAACAACAAAAAGCCCATCTAGGTGCGCGAAAATCGATACCCATAACATCCAAAAATAAAATAATCGATATGAAAACAGCTGTTTTAACAAACAGCTGTTCAGATTGGCAGCACTACAAAGTGCATCAGGTGGCAACACCAACACATTGAATTCAAATTTAAGGTCAACAGTTGACACAAAATTATGTTAAAGCGATCAAAAAATATATATTATATTTTTAGATTTTAGTATGGCTCAACGGGTATTGCCATTGACGATTATTCAGATTTTCTAATTTTTATTGTAAATAATCAAAATTTTAAAGTTGAAATGATGGATGGAGCTATAATAAACCAAAAGTCCGACAGGGTTAATTATTTAATATATTTAGTTGTAATACATTTCAACTGGCGTTTCTGCATACTGGCATATGTCGATTTCACATGATCAATTTATAAGCATTCAAGTTATTTGAAACGACAGACAACAACAAACAAGCTTGGGTCATTGATATTAAAATGTACATTTAATTATGGGAACAAAAATAAGAACAATTTGAATATTATGCATATATGTAAATATATTCCAGCCCACTGTCCAAAGGTTACCTTGCTTCTTGCCCGGCGTCCTTGCTGCCAACATGCGCCCGCACAAGCCGAGCCAACAGGTGCGACTTGTTTCGATAATTCGTTTTCACCATAAATCACCGGCTTAAATGCATGTCCTTTGCGCTAATCGTCCGCCCGCCTCCCGCCTCCCTCCAGCCAATCAATGGCGAGATGTGCGTGTTGCCAACTGCCGTCAAACTGGTTACAACAACTTTCGTTGCGGTTGCGTCGCCGAAGAAGTTGCTCACCGAGTGGCTGTGCGGGCTGTCGCGCTCAAGACAGTCAGCTTTTTAACTTGGCCAGAGTCGGTCGCTTGTCGCGCGCTAAATCGCCAGTTGTGCAATCGCTCCATCTCTTTCTCACACACACACACACACACACGACTCAAGCGTTGTGCATTTTGGAAAGGTGCGCGCGTGCGCGGTAAAAAGTAAACTAAAATAAAGGCGAGCGAGTGTTCTGCAAGACGGAGCGTGAAGTGCAGCACGCTGTTCTGTGTGTTGTTGTTGTTTTTGTTGTTGTTTTTGTTTTGTTTTGTTTTGTTGTTTGTTTGGCAAAAGCATGCGGAAAATCTGATCTGATTTGATCTGATCCTGAGCTATTGCGCAAGTCGCCGTCAAGGTATCGCTATCTCAGTATCGTCTGACAATTGCGCTCGTGTGACACTTTTCTCATAGCTGGCGACCATTGCAAACTAGTTGCAACGCGCGCTGCCCTAAAGCACCGTCGCGCTGCCCGCCTGTATTTCACCTGTACCGACGCCACAGAACGCGGTCATGTTCATTTCGTGCAGCCGCTAACGCTGGCTTTCCAGGTAAAAAGACGTCAGCATCAGCAGAAACTTTGAAGAGCACGCTGCTCCAGGATGTCGGACATTTACTACTGCAGCAATAGCCAGGTGACTAACTCAATTAAAAGCAACTCAAAATACCTGCTACTACTTTAATCGTAAACAATAATAGCACACGTTCTGCCTAACGGTTCCATTGCTCTGATATGTCTTAATTTGTAGTTCAATAAACAATGAACAAGCGAGGCTGGGTTTTTTTTTTTAGAATTAGCTGGCTAACCCTATTATACAGCTCTTGTTATACCCTGTAACCAAATGGCTAAGCAAAAGAGTTTAATGATGCTGTGTAACTGTATAAAACAGTTAGCTCCTCTCCCTCAAAGGGTTACATATTCCCTTAATCAGATCGAATATCTACGATAAGCCTCAATCAGAAGTTAATATTGCTGTTTACAGGGTATCGCCCATTCAGTCACATTCGACGCACAACAATGTTTATTTGACCGACGACAGAGACGTTGCCATATTTGTTGGAGTTAAGCGGTTTTCCAATCGTTGTTGTCGTTTAGCATAATTGGAAAATGTTGCCATGATAATTAATGAGACAAAAGTAAAAGTGAACAAAAACAAAAAAGAAAAAAAAAAAACGGCTAACATACAAACTACCCATTTGTCATATTTGTAGTTCGATTATGCAATCGAACTGCGCTCTTATTACATTACAGACCTATCGATAACAAGTCAATTTGTTTAAAACTAACGGCACTGACAGTCACAATGGTTATGTACATACAAGCAAGATGCTGCGACGGTTGCCACATGTGTGTTACAAATGTACCAAGACTGGGACTTTACTTATGCACTGGTACACTGTATCTTTTATTTGATGGGTTTTTCATAAAATGTTATGCACACTACTTTATTATATATTTGCTTTGATTTTGAATCAAATTCAATGATATCTAGCGACATTTCCATGTGTACCAGATTGCAAATGTCAAATAATAAATATAACTAATTATAAACGAAAGCAATATGTGTGTATAAAAACCAGAATTAAAAGTAATATATTTTCGGCTTGAATAAATTACATTAAAAAAGGCTACACTAAGACTCGTATCGAAATGTTATGTTTTGATCGAATTTGGTACTTTGGTAGCTTTGGTACTGGCAAGCTTTGGTACACACATTTTTTTGCATCAAGTGGCAACCGTGAAGTTGTGTGCTCTGCTACTGTGCATAATTATGGAAATTATAAAGCCGGGCGCTTTGGCACGCCCCGCAGAAAGCTGCTGCGGCAGCGGCATCGGCAGCATCCATAAGCCAGTGAAAGTTCGTCCCGTTATAAGTCAATTTGCCTTAGTAACTTACTTTTGCTGGCAACTCTGTTGCTGCCGCTGCTGCTGCTGCCGCTGCTGCTGCTGCCGCTGCTGCTCTGGGCGCATGGCCGTTAACATTTTGCAGCCTGTTTTATTGCCAGGCCGCGCTGCTGTTTTATATGAAAAGAAATCAAAAGTTTTGCTGCGTGCGTTGTCGACGGCTTTTGTTCGTTGTGTTGTTGTGATTTGAATTTGCAAATGTTTCAATGCAAAATGCTGCTGTTTTGCTGTTGTTGTTGTTGTTGTTTTGACGGCTAACTTAATGCCATGTCTAAATTTGTTTGTGAAATGAAGTTGGAAGACTTGGCTTTTGTTTATTGCTGAGAATTTTTTCCAAAGCAAAATATGTCGCCGTTAACATTAACAACAATGCCAGACAGTGGCAACTGAACCAAGGTTTTCACTGACCAAATTTTTGCTTTTTGTTTGTATTTTTTGTTGTTGTTGTTGTTGTACCCTGACAGTTATTGTTATTTGTTGCTGTTGTTGGTGTGCAGGGCGTGCAATTTTGTTGTTGTTGCTTTCGACTATTGAGCAATTTGCAGTTTCTGATCGCCCGCTGCTGCTGCGAGATATCTGTGCCTATGTATGCATATGCATAAGTGTGTGTGTGTGTGTGTGTGTGTGTGTGTGTGTGTGTGTGTGTGGCAAACATTCCAATAAGTCTAGTCTAGACTTTAAAGACTCGCACGGCCAAAAGTGATTGCGGCGACAACAACAACAACAACAAACTTGTTTGGCTAAGAAAAACGCAACAACTTTCAGTTGTCGGTCTAAAGCTTGGCTTATCTTGCTTTTGCTATTATTTCTGTTGTTTGTTTCTTTTTTTTTTATTTTTTGCACAATCACCAAAAGACCAGCCAGCGGCTAAGCTGACGCCATCGCCACAACATAACACCCACTCCCAACCCAACCCCCCCCCCCCCCCCCTCCCGCGCGCCCCTCCCGCCACTCAACATAACATACTAGCCAATAAGGCAGCAACAATTTTCGACTGATTACGTTGCATATCTTAAAGTCTGATAAAAACAAAAGTTCCAGTTCGAAATCCCAATTCCTTTATGTGCATGCCACACACAAGGACTTTCCAATAAGAATGAGCGTATAGTTTTGCATATGTACGTATGTATGCATATATGTATGTTGGATGTTTCCATAGCAATGCGTTTTCCAGTTGAAATGTGCCGCAACAGGTTCGGGCAGCAGCAACAACAACAATATAAAATGTTGTTGCCATTTGCCAAATGCCAACAGCAGCAGCAGCAGCAGCGACTAGAAAAAATAATAATAGCTTGTCTTTTGTACTTATTTCTTAAATTGTTTTATTTTTTTCTTTTCTGAGACATGCTCCGTTTTGGTTTTTTATATTTGCTTTTCTGTTTGAGCGCATTTAATGTTTTGAGTGCAAAAGTTGAGCAGCAGCTTGAGTGACCTTTCATTGCGGCTGCCAGCATCGATCTGGCCACCCGCTAAACGATCGCTAATGGCAACGCTGTGCACACACACACACATACACAAGCAGACAATAGAGTGCCATGAACTTTCTCTGCCTGCACAAAGCACAGCAACTCGCTGCGGCTTTTTTTTATTTTTTGTAGGCTTGCATTTTTCTTATTTCTAAATTGTCATTGAAATAAATAAGAACCAAAAGCCAAACACACATCAACAATGAGGATAGCCCACAATTATGACAAACCCAACAACAACCATGTGCAATTCCAAAGTCTTAACAAAGTTGTCGACTGCGGCGGCGGCGGCAGCAGCGGCAGCGGTAGCGGCTGCGGCTGCTGGCAAAGAAAGTAGCACAATTCATTGGCAGTGCCTGGTTGTTTGTTCATCATCAACGTTGCCGTCGTTGTTGCTGTCAGCTTCAAGCATTTTATGACTTTTATAAGCGGCGACGCCGAAGCGCTGCCAACTGCGATTTATTGTAACTGTGTGTGTGTGTGTTTGTATGAGAATGCTTTAAAATTGAATTTCCTTTCGATTGTGAGTATAGGTGTACATACACACACATACATATGCATGTATATTCATGTGTGCGCCCTTTACTTTCCAATTCGCAGTGCTTTATTATTATTATTGTGGCCGCCCTATTGCCAAATTACTTTTTACTCTCTTTCGTACTCTAATTTTATGGGCGCTGCCACGCCCAGACTTTTACGCGCAGCCGTGCCGATTGCAATTCGCTTAGCCTTGAACAGCGCTAGCGTCGACGCTGGCAGCGACGCGATGCGTTGGCGTCGCTGCCTTATTTATTGTTGCTGCCTAATAGCTA